GACATGGGAGCTGCCCTACATGGGACCTGCAGTGTACTCGATATACCCAGTGTCACTCCGTTGGAGAAAACTGATTTCCCCTCTCCCAGTAGGTATCAATCTCAAATTTACCTTCTTGGTTAAGGGTGGGATTTATGTTTACCGTCCCTTCTCAGTGCTGGAATTTTGTCTGGCTGGGGTCTGTGCAGACCTTGTGCATGCTGTCATGGTCTCTGGGAGTTCACATGTGCATCAACCCTGTTGTATCTGGAAGGCACTGTTTCCCTGGAATCATCTATCCCCCTGGCTCTTACAGTCTTTCTGCCTCATCTTTGGCACAGATCCCTGAGCCTAGAGGGGAGGAATTTGATAAAGACATCCCATGTAGGACAGTGAGAACATTGTGTGTCCATCGTCCAGTTGTGGGTCTCAGTGTTAATTACCATCTACTGCAAGAAGGTGGTTCTCTAATGAGGGTTGAGTGATGCACCCCCACAGTTCCATGTGTTGAGTTTTTCACAGAAAAGGACTTAAATACGCTGTTCTTCAAAAGAACGGCATTTTATGGGTGCAGGTGTTTTAGAAGTGGGATTAATGTCGATTTGGGGATTTTTTAGTTGTGTAAAAAGCTGATATAATACAGTTACCTTCCTACTTTAGAGTTTCATTGTTTGGTAACTTTCCAAATGTTACTACAAATACTACTACAAATTATTTCTACATACCTGTCATGATTGCTTTTACAAACATCCCAAAGCATTTTATGATCATAGGTATTAACTTACTAACTCAAATATAGTTGATAAAACTATGGAACAGGATGATTTTTGTAGATCATGTGTGATTCTTCTCTGCCCAGACACTGAAATTATATTTAAAGACTTACTTCAGAATTCCAGACTGAACAATGCTAGGTAAAAGGGCAGTGGTTGGTGCAGAATGTCTTGGTCACAGAGCCCTGGAAAGCAGCAGGGATACAGCGTGGTGGACTTTACATCATATAACAGCTGTGTGTGTGTGTGTGTGTGTGTGTGTGGTTTATAGAAAATATATTTATATAGTTAAGTAAATTTTAGTTTCTTGTCAACATTCACATTTCAAAGACAATTTTCTTGAAAAAGCTTACAGCCTGAACTCTTAAACAATTCCAACTTCTCTTGAGCTGTAGTATCTTCCCTCAAAGTCATCTTAGGACATTTCCCCCTTATCCTCTGGTAAACATTGCACAGAAATTAGTGCAAGAAACTCCCAATTGTTCAGTCTCACCCCAATGGTTTCTTTTGAAGACTGTGTTGGTGATGGTTCTCACATATGCCTTTGTGCATTTTGAATTAATGTCTATGTACAGGGTAAGTTAGTATTTAACTCTATTTTTTGCATAGGGATCTCTAATTTTTTTCAGTATCGTTGATTGAAAAGACAGTTCTTCCTACATAGACTAATATTTGCATCCCTCTTGAAGTCAGTTGACCATACATGTAAGGGTTTATTTCTCTTTCTTTTTTACTGTTGGCAGTACTAGGGATTGAACACAGGTCCCCTCACATGGTAGGAAAGTACTCTATCACTGAGCAATAGCCTCAGCCCTAATTTTGTACTTTCAGTTCTGTTGCATTGTCTGTCTTTATGTCACTGTGTCTTGATTATTGTAGTAAGTTTGAAACTGAGAAGTATGTGTTCTTCAGCATTGTCTTGGCTGTTGAGATTTCTCTCGATTTCTGTGTAAATTTTAGGATCAGTTTTTCAGTTTCAACCAACAAGGCATCTAATCTTTTTAAAATGTGCTTGTGTGTATGATATGTGTATGTGCCTGCATTTGTGTGAGATAGTGTGAGCATTGACATGCTACAGCACTCGTGAGGAGTTCAGAGGGCAACTTTGGGGGCCGGTCCTTGCCTTACACCTTGTTTGAGACGAGGTCTTTCATTGTTCGCTGCTGCATCTGCCAGGCTGGCTGGCCCATGAGCTTCTAGGGATTCTCTGGTCTCTGCCTCCCATCTCACTGTAGGAGCTCTGGGATTAGACACACATCTCTACCCCCTGACTTTAGGTATGAATTCCAGGGATTTGAAATCAGGCCTTCCTGCTTTTGTGGCAACACTTTGCCACTGAGTCACCTCTCCAGCCCATAGCTGAGGTTTGGACTGGGGTTCTGTTGAGTGTATGCCTTGATCTGGGGGATATTACCATCTTAGACGTATTAAGCTTCCTAGTCCGTCTACATGGGCTACTCGTGTTACTTTATTTACATCTGAAATCTTAGTGATGCTGTGTAGTTTGTACTCATCCTTCTTTGATGAGTAGTTTCTTTCATGTGTGGATTAAATTTTTTTTTTCATCAAGTTTTGGAACTTTTAAGACATTTATTCAATAATTTTCTTCCTGCCTTTCTCTCCTGTCTTTTTATGGCTCCCCTAATGCATTTGTAAATAGATATATTTGATGGTTTCTTGGAAGTCTGTGAGGCACTGTTCATTTCTCTTTATTCACGTGGCATTCTGTTCCCCAGACTAGATAATGGAGTTCTCTGCAGGTGTGTTTGTTTATAATGATTTCCATCAATTAAATCTGTGTTCCTTGGTATATGTAACCACTGAAATCTGCCCAGTTAGCTTAGTGCTCAGCTACTGAGTGGACAAACACATTCGTTAATGTCTTGATCCAGAAAATCTTCCATTGTTTTGTGAGACTATTATGGCTTTTCACTTGTGTAGTGCCTCCAAGATAAGCAATCCAGGCCTCTTGTAGATGTCTTTTGGGTGTATGTGCACTCCTGAAGGTGTGCCTGTGTATACTGTACAGCCTTCAAAAGCCTTGGGAGTGTGTTTGCACTGTTTAGAGTCCTCTTGAAATTCCAAAAGTTTTCTCCTTAAAAATTTTTGATCATTGTCCTCTTAACCACTCATATTATAGAATCCTCTTTCATGAGAGAGGAAAAGTGAGATTTATAGTAAACCCCTGTAAAGTGGCCCTTTGGCTACACAGATGCTCGTCTATTTGGGACAATGGTATAGTTAGATAAACTCATGGGCAGTTAAATGAGAATTTTCAACTACTCACTGAAGATGTGTCTGCTACATCTGCTCAACAGCATAGCTTAATGTGCTTCCAAACATTCACATTAGACTGCAGCTGGGAAAACCCTCTAACCCATAGCTTTTAAAAAACAATAAGCTGTTGTATATTCCATATAATTTATTGAACACTGAAAATGAGAAATAATGGTTGTTTGGCAAATTTTCACACCAATGTGAGGCCCAAAAATCTTCACCTAGACCTTGGCTACCTTAAAGACTTTTGAGCTGTTAATCTGTCAAGGTAAAGAGAAAGGAATATTACTCATAAAGCCTCAGCCCTGGGCTTTACCACTTATCCCGGAGGCTCCATTCTTGGCAGTGGTGATAGTCAGGTGTAAAACAATTTTTTATTTTTAAAATGTTTGGAAATATTATATAAAGCGTGGAGTTATTTTAATTCAACTGGACAGATAGTGCCATCCTGAGGAAATTTCTTTTTGAAAACCTACTCAGGAAAGAAAATGAGTTTCTGGAGTCTAGATCACTGAAAACGGACTCCCTTTCCTGAAATGTCAGTGAAATGCTCTTGACAATGACAGGCTTGTTTTGAGTTGTGCCGCTGCTGCTGTCCCTGCCTTTTGCAGCCATTGGCTCCAGCTTCAATCTGCTTAATTTGGACTCTTGATTGATTATAGTTACTCCCCTCAAAGCATCATAACTTGAGACATTACATTTCCCTCTCAGGACTTGGACTCGAGTCTGATGAACTCCCCGCCCAGATGAGCGTCGCTGACTGGCCGGAAATGAAGAAGAAATTTGCAGATGTGTTTGCAAAGAAGACCAAGGCAGAGTGGTGCCGGATCTTTGATGGGACAGATGCGTGTGTGACCCCAGTGCTGACGTTTGAGGAGGCCCTTCACCACAGTCACAACAGGGAACGGGCCTCGTTTATCACCAACGAGGAGCAGCAGGCAAGCCCCCGCCCTGCACCTCAGCTGTCCAGAACCCCAGCTCTCCCTTCTGTCAAAAGGGAGTGTTTCGTAGGAGAGCACACCGAAGAGGTTCTCAAAGAATTTGGGTTCAGTCAAGAGGAGATTAATCAGCTGCACTCAGATGGAATCATTGAGAGTAGGAAGCCAAAAGCCAACCTCTGACTCACAGGTTCTCGGCTCACGTGAATCTGAGTGCTGTCCTTACGCTGGAAAATGACACCCACAATTGTGTGTATGAAAATGGGGATGAACAGTAATGAAGTGATCCAAGTGTTCCAATCAAGACACAACTAAAGACTGATTACAGAGTCATGATTGCACACTGAAACTGCTTTTCAGGGCCTCTGATTGAGGAATCTTTTGGTGTGCATACTGATAAGAACTTGTTGCACTTTTCTGCTTTTCAGTTCACTTGATAACACACATATATATATATATATAAATATAGCTATGATATATTTTAAGTGAATTAATATAATTTTAATAAATAAAGCTTTTTTTCTCCCTCTTGGAACCAAACACTGTTTTTAAGTTGTGAAAGCTTTCTAGAAAGCCCTTTAAAGACCATTTTCTGATGCATTAAATATTTGGGCACTACTGTTAACAAAATGCATAACCCTTAAAAAAAAGTCAGACCCTTTTCATTCACTTTGAACTCAAATGTTAGCAAATGGTCTTGAAGTTCTCATCATAAAGCCCTGCTTCAAATCACCATACTGGATGCTGGGCTGTGTGTGAGTAGCTTGGTGGCCTGTTCTCCATCACCTGGCAGTTAACTGTCCTGTATCCAGTGAAAGTCTGCTAAGCTCCTCCCACCCATGTCTGCCTCTGTACTGATCATGTCCCCGGAAGTCCTTCTGCTTATCCTCTCAAAAGTCACAATAATAAGCAGCTTTAAGTAAGCAGGTAAATAAGTCAGGTGGTACTCCATAGGCAATAGAACAACCAACCAGTGAGAAGAAGACATCCTAATGCTGAGGTGCACGGCAGTGAGAGCCGTGATTAACAGCTGGGATGAACTCCAGGAGCAAAGTGAGCTTCTCATCTTTGGACATCTCTATTACAACTGCAAAAGGTGCTAATGGTTTTGTCAGCCTTGGGTCAGAGTCATGCTTTGCCCTGCCCAGTGCTGGAGTTCACATCTCTATAGCAACCTAACCCCTGATCATGTAATGGCTTCCCAACTCCTTTGAAATGCTCTTTTTTTAAAAAGTATTTTTTGAAATTTTCATTTGCATATACAATGTGTCTTGATCATATCTACCCCCTACTCCCCTCTCCAATACCTACCTCAACACAACTCCCTCCCAACAGATAACTGCTGTTTCTCTTTGCTTTTATTTCTGTCATATTACCTTATTGGTATTTTTTTTTTTGCAAGACTAGCCTTTTTAGTCCTGCAAAATTTTGCAGTAGTGCATTTTTTTCCTAAGGGATAAAATATAATCTTAACAACAACAATAACAATAAACAAAAATAACAGTAAAACTGCCTACATCATCAATCCATCCTCAGCTCCTGCTCTGCAGCCATGTATATGGACCACCTGAAATGTCTACATGTTATGGTTTCTCTTGCTTCCATTCCTTCCACGTGCCGCATCATTTTCCGGGACTAACAATACACCTTCTGTTCCTGCCACTTGGTTAGCCAACTCATGTTGACTCAAATGCAGCCTTCTTTGTTAAACTTCCTGCCCTTCTCAACTCTAAGATGATTTTGTACAGTGAATATGAGCTATAATGTCAGAAAGGTCATGTGCTCAAATCTCATTCTCCCAGATGATGTCTATTTCAATACTTTGGAAGTGCCTGACATGTTGGAAAAGCTCAGAAATTGTTCATTCTTTCTGTTATGCTCTTGCTATATTCCCATTGTACTCTGAATATGTCCAAGGATAGGAATTACTTTTTATTATGATTTACAAATTCTTCACTAAGCCATGAGCTCCTGGGGTAATGGCTGTAGTATTTATATCTAGTTCAAAAACACCATGTATGGAGTCTGCCAACACAGAATCTGGGCCCTGCCCCCAGAAAGTTGATACAGTGGGCAAGGGTGATTCCCACACATTTGCATTTCTATAAAGCATCCATGTGATTGCACATAGCTCACAATTCAGAGGCACCACCTTGCTTCGTTTCTGTTGCTTTTGCTTACTGTTGTGACCACAATACTTGAGACGGGTGGTATCAGGGATGGTTTACTTTTGCTAAGTTTCAGAGATTTCAGGCCATCAAGGCAAGGACTGTGGTAAGCAGGATGCAGATGGAGCAACAGTAGGGAGGGAGCCAAGGCATGAAATAGCCCCTCAAGAAGGCACCCCCATGCCAGCAACCCAACATCTCCCATCAGGCTCCATTCCCACAGCTCCACTGCCTCCCAAGAGGTTATCTATGTTATAAATCTGTCAGGGGGTTAAACCATAATAAGGTGAGAATCCTCACGATCTAATCCCGTATGGAAATGCCCTCATCAACACACCCAGAACTGTGTTTCACTAATTTCCTGGGGACTTTTAAATCCAGTTTTGTTGGCAATCAAGATTAACAATCACTAAACGGGAGAGATTGCTCAGAGGTAAAGAGCACTGGCTGCCCTTCCAGAGGAGCTGGCACCCACATGGCACCTCATAACAGTCTGTATTTCCAGGTCAAGTGGATCCACCACCCGCTTCTGGCTTCCATCATCACCAGGCATGCATGTGGTGCATAGACTTACATGCAGAAAAAAACACCCACATACATAAAAAAATACTAAAACCATTACAAGTGGCATTGTTTTAAGAGATATGAACCAAGCAAGACTTTTTAAATCATGGTTACTATTACAATATGTTCTCAGAAAAAGTATGTGTTCAGTGGAATGGTTAGGGAAAAGATAAATGCAAATTGGTTAAAAATCTATGGCTAATCAGATGAGCTAATGTAGACGTTGATTTCTGTGTTTGGGTGATTACACAAAGTGAATGAGAAGTTATATTTGGTAGGTTGTGAATTTCAAGAATAAATAACTAAGGTGAGTAGCATGTTAGTGATGTGTGCTCTCTTTTTTCTGGAGATCTGGAACTGAAGAACATTCTATACTTTGTGAAAAACTGAAGATTTAGACATAGGAATCTGGTCAGAAAGGAGAAAGCATCAACTTTGAGAAGGATGGAAAAGAAGCAGGCAATTGAATATAGGAAAGTCAAAGGAAAGAGGAATTATATTCTCGAACACATGGTTCAATGTGTATTTTCACTCTGTTGATGGTGCCATATTGGAAGTAATGAGATGCCACAAACTGTAGGGACAAATTGTATGTAGGGGCATAAAACAGATGACTGGTGCATCTAGACCACATATCTGTGTCCATATCTTCCTTCCAGCTACATCTCAGGCTTCGGGAACAATGGCATTGCATTTTATTGTTTGCAAAATTCTTCCCCTACATGAAGTCAGGTGCTCTCCACTATCATACAGTATATAAGCTGTTCTTCCATAGGCCCTAAGAAGGCAGGAGAGCAGCTTTCCTTATTCAGATGACAAAACAGATACAAAAGGTCCTTAACCTTCTTAGTTCACTTCTTAATGTCCTAGAAGCCTTCTATGTTTACTATAGTGGCTGGATTTTTCCTCTGATCCTCAGATAAAATTTATTGGGATACACAGTATATTGGGGAACACAATACATCACCACATAACACACTTTGAAATAATATTCTACAGCAACTTGATTTCAAAATTTAAATGTTCTGAGATATACCAGTGTGTTCTGTGTGATCTTTGGGTGCCTTGACACACAGTTTGAGAAACATCAAATTAGGATCTTCCTAGGGAAGTGCGGTAAAAGAGGCATTCCAGGAATTAGAACTTTAACATTCTGACTCCATACTTTGTTCCTTTTTTTTTTTTTTTTTTTTTTTTTTTGGTTTTTCGAGACAGGGTTTCTCTGTGTAGCTTTGCGCCTTTCCTGGGACTCACTTGGTAGCCCAGGCTGGCCTCGAACTCACAGAGATCCACCTGGCTCTGCCTCCCAAGTGCTGGGATTAAAGGCGTGCGCCACCACCGCCCGGCCCCATACTTTGTTCTTGAACCATTTTTAAAGGCATTTCTTCTAAGATATTTTTCCTACCAAGGATTTTTATTAGGGTCCAGTAAGGAAAATGTGACTCACTGGAAGTCTTTAAAACAGTAAATTTAACTAGAGGATTACACTGGCGATAAAGAGTAGAGATAGTATCTGCTCATGCAGACAGGAGCAGAATCAAGGAGCCAGGGTCACAGCTAGAGCAGCAGGGACAGCAGCTATGGGGAGTTAAGGAGACCCAGCACCCAGAGCGACTGATAGAAGGTAGGTTCACAGTGCACATGCAGTCAATGCCAAAAATACCTCCGATGAAGAAAACAGGATCATGTTTGTTTTCCCTTCTACCTAGGCTTTTATTTTTATTTTTATTTTATTTTTATTTATTTTTTTTAAACTAGTGCTTGCTGTTAGCCAAATATACCTAGAAGGCAGAGAACAAGGGAGCCTGGGAAATGTAGTCCCCTAGGATCTAAGCAAAGTAGGAAATGACTGGCACAAAACGTAGCCCGCGTATACGCCATTCATTCAACTTGTATTTATTAGCAAATATTTTGGGGGACCTAAGAGGTGCCAGGCTATATGCTGGGGGTGCCATAAATCAACCTGATCTCTGTCCCTAAGATAATCAAAGGATATAATTAAGGAAATAATGAAGGCTATCACAAACACTGAACTATCTTATTTGAAAATGTCCTGAGTGCAATGAGAGAACAGTTCAGGGGTGTGTGTGACAGTTAATGGTTTGAGTAGAGGATGAAACCCCTCACTACCCACCATTTTAAGTCTGGTTAATTTGTCTTTTTTTTTTTTTTTTAAAAAAATGATTTTATGTACATTGGTTTTTTAAAGCTGTATGAAGAAACTGTAAATTCATGGAAAGGGAATATCCAGGTCTATAGAAAGAAGTTTATACAAATGATTAGATCATTTACATTTTTATTTAGTCTCTGTATGGGAGACTTTATGATTTGAAAAGTATGGAAACAATGTGTACAAGTGTGTGTGTGTGTGTGTGTGTGTGTGTGTGTGTGTGTGTGTGTATGAAAGAAGGGGGAGGGAGGGAGAGAGAGAGAAAGAGGAGGCAGGGAGAGAGGGTGAGAAGGTCTTTAGAAAAACAGCAGCATTCTAAGGAGTCAGAGGGCTCACAACAGCTAATCTCTGTCATGCTTCCAAGTGCCAACACCCAACTTGCTCCTCATCATAACTTGTGATCTTGGAGGCATGAAAGAATTTCAGCTCCTCCTCCGGCCTGCCCATCTCTGCTCAACAGGCTCCATGTCAGATCCAGTTTGGAGCACAGACCTGAGGGCCACGCAGGAAGGTTATTCTCTCTGTGGTCATGAGCGGCAGCAATGGGCAGACTGACACCCGTACCTATCAATCCCTAGCCGAGGATTGCCCCTTTGGCTCTGTGGAGCAACCCAAGAGATCCACGGGGAGACTCGTCATGCACAGCATGGCCATGTTCGGCCGAGAATTTTGCTATGCGGTGGAGGCAGCCTATGTGACTCCAGTTCTGCTCAGTGTGGGCCTGCCCAAGAGTTTGTACAGCATGGTGTGGCTCCTAAGCCCCATCTTGGGATTCCTGCTGCAACCCGTGGTGGGATCAGTCAGTGATCACTGCAGGGCCCGGTGGGGCCGCCGGAGACCCTACATCCTCACACTGGGCATTATGATGCTCTTGGGGATGGCCCTGTACCTCAATGGAGATGCTGTTGTATCAGGTAAGTGGAGTACACAGGCCTAATAGTTCACTGTTAAGGTAAAATGTCATCAATATTTTTCAGTGCCTATAATCAATGGACTCTCCTAGCATGCAGTAAACTTCCTTCCACCTTTGGATGACCCCCAAGCCTGTGGTTGAGGAATCTGCTTCCAGAAACATCACAACATTGTCTTTTATTATTGTAAGGCTTTAAAATGGATTGACTTTTTATCCCTTTCACCAAATTAAATATGTTTACTTATTTTTCAGTTGAAGGACATTTGAGCATATTATGTCTCGTGGAATACTTTATCAAACTGCCCCGCTTCAAGCATGAATAACAAGTCACCTGCTGTGTACAAATAAGAGTTAATTCTGGGTGCATAACATTTTAATTAGTACCCTGTCAGCTCTGGGGACATCTTTGTATGGTGAATTCTGGAAAACAACTTTGGTGTTAAAGCAATATTTCTAGCTACAGGCCAGCTACTAATTCCTAAGTACTTGGTGGCAGCACATTGAAAAAGACATCATGAAGAGGCACATATTTTTAGGCCATTTATGCCAGTAGAATGAGAGGTTATGATACAGGATAAGCAGGTAATATTTGTATGTATTTAGGCCAGTGGTTCTCAACCTTCCTAATGCTGTGATCCTTAAACACTGTTCCTCATGTTAAGGTGAACCCCAACTGTAAAATTGCTTCCTTGCTATCTCAATAACTGTAATTTTCTATGGTTATGAATTGTAATATAAATACCTGACATACAGCATTCTGATATGTAACCCTCCCCCAAAGGGGTGGTGACCCACAGGTTGTGAACCACTGATTAAGAAGGATGTATAAATATGGAAATGTAGGAAATAACTAGGACATTTAAGATACATACTGGAGGTAAGAAAGAGAGGGTAGACTTATTTTTCACTTACTTTTATAGTGGAATGTGTCAAATATGTTTATATATTGAACACTATCCTTGGGTTAACAAGATATAAGCAAGGGACTCAGCAGTATATCACTCTTGGCAGACTGGGTAGATGAGTAGAGAATATGGATGGAACGGAGCCTACTTAAGTGTGAAAAGTACTACAGGGCCTTTTTGACCAATAGAAGGATCTGGGGAGAGTTGATTGAGGATAGAATGTTTATACTCCATGATCACACTTGCCTGGGGCGTTCAAAATTGTGTTATCATGGAGTCATAGAGTTACAAGAAGTCATACTCCCCCACTTACACCTGCCAAGTCAGAGTCTTGGGAAATAGGGCCAGCAATCTGTGTTTGTTTTTGTTTTGTTTTGTTTTGGGTTTTGATTTTCTTGAGATAGGGTTTCTCTGTGTAGCTCTGGCTGTCCTGGCACTCACTCTGTAGACCAGGCTGGCCTTGAACTTACAGAGATCTGCCTGCCTCTGCTTCCTGAGTGCTGGGATTAAAGGCTTGTGCTACCACTGCCTGGCAGCAATCTGTGTTTTGACAAAATGGTTCAGATGGCAGTCGGGCACTCCAGAGTGTGAGAAGCCCTGTGTTTGGGGCAGCTCTGTACAACCGTGGGCTTGCACATGTAAAAAGGGATGCCTTGGAGAGTAGCCATCACTGGAGCTAGGATTTAAAGGATTTTCTTCAGCTTATTTCACATTATTATTATTTTTAATGCAAAAAGACGTCATTAAAATCCCAGAGTATTCAGCTAAAGTATATACCCAGTGCTTTTTTAAATAGTCCTAAGATTGAGCAATCATCACCACTGTGTACTTATGGGATATTTTCATGCCCCTCCCCTAAGAAACCCACTACCCACTGGGAGTCACTTCCTGCCTTTTCCTAGGCACCAGGTACCAGGCAATCACTAATTTACTTTCTGCCTATGCATTTGTCTTTCCTGGGCATTCAGTTGCATACTTTCTTAAACATAAAAAAAATAGCACCATTTTTTTTTAGATGTAAGAAGAAAAGTACATAACCCAAAAGGGATGATTTGATGGCAGTTTAAGTGAAATAAAAATATATAGGTTGTTCTAAACATGCTTTGGAAAACAAACGTTTCTTCTGTTTTAGCTTTGGTTGCTAACCCCAGGAGGAAGCTGGTTTGGGCCATAACCATCACGATGATAGGTGTGGTTCTCTTCGACTTTTCTGCTGACTTCATTGATGGGCCTATCAAAGCCTACTTGTTTGACGTCTGCTCCCACCAGGACAAGGAGAAGGGCCTCCACTACCACGCCCTCTTCACAGGTAGGGAATATTCCGGAAAGTTTCCCCTTCAGCTTTGCAGACAAGGAGAAACTTCAGTGGAAGGCGGCCAGCGTCTCTGTGCTTGGGCATCTTTTGAATGAATGGATCAGTTGACAGGAAGCACCCATCACGCGCTCCGCCCTGTCTCCAGTTCATTTCTCTGAACAAAGTAAGCTTATGACCAGGGCTTCAGAGTTCTTGGAAAGGAAGTTTACTTAAACAAGAGGTTTCTTCAGAACGCTGTGGAGACATGAACAGCTGAAGTAAAAAGGAGCCCTGTGTACTGAACCTTCTCTTTAACGCATCCAGCCTACGGCACTTATCAGGCAACATCAGTCTTGCTTAGGGATGTGTTGAAAAAACAGGTTTCTGGGTCCTTTCTCTAGTTACACTGATTCGGTGCATTTCATGGGGCCCAGGAATTTGCCTTTTATTTGGTAAGGACCCAAGATGTCCGTGTTGGGTGGGCAGAGAGGGCTCTCTCCTTTGCTAGGGGGCTGTGCCCAGCCTCCCTTGATTGCCACTGGGCCATTTCCCGAGCACACGGGGCAGTGATGAACAAGCCCCCTGTTAGCACGTCAAGTGAAGGCAGGACCCTGAGCCATGGGCACTTCTATATCTAGCAAGGGGCCTTTTCAGGCCACTTTGTCATACTGTCTTCATAGTCAAGCCAAATGCAGGTAAGTTTGGAAGCATCCTGTCTCCTTCCCCGGCCATGTAGGGCCCTACCTCCAGACCCAAGGTTAGTTCCTGCATGTAGAAGCTACCGAATCCAGTTTTGTCATTTGGGCAACTATTTGAGTAGCGAAACTGAAGGGATGAGGCTGCCCCAGTACAGCGAGCTGTTCCTACCACTTTGGGGCAAGGTGCAGGGTCAGAGGGGCAGTCCTGTCTGTCGGTGGTCTCTGACCTCCGTGTGTCAGGAGGTATAAATGCTGCAGAACAAAGCCAGGGTTTGAGAAAACTCCTACCTCATCTTTGTCTTACTGCTCCGCAACCTCATTCTCTCACCTGGGTGTCTAGTCCGGTCGGTTTTCCCCTTTGTTGTTAAGAGCAACAAACACTCTGAACCACTAAGTCATCTCTCTCTACACACCCCACCCCACAAGCTATTTTCATTCCGCACCTCAAACTTTATTTCCCATTAATCCTCCCCCCCCATATTCTCCATGCTCTGAATAATTCTCAACTTGTTTCCAGCACAGACATCAAGTCTGTTTCATTCACTCTGCCGCTGGTTCTTCGGCCATCAACAGTCTCACTGCAGATGTTCAAAATAAATACTCACCTAACACAAGAAGAAGCCTGCCTTTTTTTTCCTTAATAATGCCTTCATTTACCCTTTGAGAATTTCAAATAATTTATTTTGATCATTTTCATTTCCTGCTCCCAACTCCTCCCAGATCCTCTCCCTTTCTTTTCCCTGGGTTCAAGGTCTTGGCTCACTCAGAAAATCCCTTCAGAGATCAAAAGTACTCTTGAAATTCCCACCTCCTCCTAAAGAGAAGACCCCTTACTCTTTTCTAAATTGCAATTAGACGCCATTTCTAACTTGCTTTTCAATCCAAGTGCAAAAGTTTGTGGAGTGGACGGATACCAAGGCGTTCTCTTGGGTGGGAGAAAGGGGCTGCACCTCACCCTTCACACACCCTGCAGTGCACCACCCCGGGGTTTCTCTGGTCAGCCTGGACCGCTGTGCCCCAGGACTGCTGCCTGGCTGGCTTGACTAGCAGCAAGGTAATCTTCACAGTCATGGAGGACCGCAACCCAAGGTCATGTTGGTGGCGGTGGGTTCTGGCAAAGCCTCTTCCTGGCTTGCAAACACCCGTCGTCTTGTGTCCTCATGTGACTTTGCATCTGTCCATGTGCCGCCCACGCCACTCTCACTGCCCCCTGGGGTGTTTTCTCGCATAAGAAAATCAGTTCTGTGTGGACTGAGGCTCCCAGTCTCATTTAACTGTAAGCACCTCCTTAAAGACTCTGTGCACAACGCTAGGGTTGAGGACGTCAGCACATGAACTTGAGGACAGATGCACTCTAGTCCATAAAATGGCCATTGCCGAGCTCAGCTCTCCTAGGAAAAGATGCAATGTTGATCAAGCTGCCCACTTTTCTCCTCTTTTTTTTCCCCCCTCCAGTCCCCTGCATTTTCCTTTTCAGCACACTGGAGATATTCTAGGCTTTTTTTTTTTTTTTAAAATAAACATAAGAGCACAAAAGTTCTTTATAAAAAGAGTATTTTTTAATGTTTTTTTGTTATTGTTTTTTGTTTGTTTGTTTGTTTTAATGTTTGTGGTCTAAAGACCATAACTCTTGGATGACTCTTGGGTCTCACTCCAGTGGTTCTCAGGTCCTTCTGTGGAATGCTTCTTTTAAAGTCTCCTAAAATACCTGCAGCCCCTGGTTTGGTGGGAAGAGCAGCTGGTGACAAGGGAAAGCTCAGCCCACCTGTGAGGAAACTCCGGAATGCTTCTCGGTTGAAAATATCAGTCTGCTCTCAAAGGGTCATTTTCACATAATCTCGTTCTCGGCCTTCGCTATTGCTCTCCCTCCTATTTTTAGAACATTTCTAGCCACTCCAATTGTGCTGTGCATTTCATGAAAGGAGGAACTATGTAGAGAAAACGTTTGTGTAAATGAGTGAGAAGGCAAGAGAGGTGGGATAAAGAGATGATCAGCGTTCTGTGCTTATTAGTGAGCTACTTGCAATAATCCGATTGGAGTCACTATACTTTATTGACACCCTGACTCTTCCCCCATCCTCCCATGGGTGGCAGGTGCTCAAGGAATGCATAGCCTAGGAAAGGGGTTGGCCATAACAACGCTCACATCTCAGTGGCTCACACACCTATGTGGGTTTACTTTTCTTAAATGACAAGTCAGGGAGGGAGTACACGGTGGCTCTTGGTCAGCAGCCCATGTCAGCACCAACTTAACTGTTATTTGGTTCCTCTGTCGGTGTAGTGCCTCTTGGATACATGTTGGTTGCTATGGTTCCATCGTGTTTCTTTCAAGACAGGAGGGATGGAGAGGAGAGTCGGGGACAAAGCGAGAGGAAAGAACCTACGTTGTATTTTTGGATGAGGAAAGCAAGAGCTCTCTGTTCTTCACAGACATTTTTGTTTCTTATTGAGCATAATTAGATCATCTAATAGGCTCTAGAGGTTAAAAAGTGAGGGTTTGTTTAGTTTTTAATTTTTAGGGATGGAGGGAGGGGCACATACTTCCCCTGGAGCAAATTGGGATCCATTACCAAGGGAGAAGGGGCATTTTTACTAAATAGAAGAAAGCCAATGGTTAAAAAATATAGACATAACTGCACTTTGTTCTTAAAGAAACATTTGATTTCTTGATTTTTCTTTGAGACACTCTATATGTCAGTGTCTCCAGGGCCTGTGTTTGGTCCTGTGACCTTTTTTTTTTTATGGTGAAAAAGTATATTTAGAATTAGCCAGCTGGACTCAGTTTAGATGACCCCAATTATTTTGGCAACATCCAGAGTGAGTGAGTGTCTCCAGGGCCTATGTTTGGTCCTATGAGATGTCAATGTCTTCAGGGCCTGTGTTTGGTCCTGTGACCTTTTTTTTTTTATGGTGAAAAAGTATATTTAGAATTAGCCAGCTGGACTCAGTTTAGATGACCCCAATTATTTTGGCAACATCCAGAGTGAGTGAGTGTCTCCAGGGCCTATGTTTGGTCCTATGAGATGTCAATGTCTTCAGGGCCTGTGTTTGGTCCTATGGGAGATAACTGTGTGTGGACAGCTTCTAGCAAGTCTACCATTCCCCAACAGAAGGGCAAGATCAAACCCCTCCTCTTCTAGGGCATTGCTCTGGAGTCCCACCCAATTTAGATCTTAGTTTCCAAGGTCTCTAACTACTTGATGATGGTGCTCTGCATTATTCATAACAAACACTACTGGACCACTCATGAAATACAGCATGCTTTGTTACGTGTATGTAAACAGGCACATAAAGTGTGTGTGTGTGTGTGTGTGTGTGTGTGTGTGTGTGTGTGTGTGTGTGTGT